CCTTCCTTCCTTCCTTCCTTCCTTCCTTCCTTCCTTCCTTCCCTCCCTCCCACTAAAGGATCCAATGTGGCTTGCAATATTAAAAGAAACAAAGTTAAAAGATAAAATAATATATTATTACAATGTTAAAGAAGAATTATACAAATATCATATCAAAACATTATAAATAAAGCCATTTTAAAAGCACAAGTAAAACAAAAGAGCACAATTAACAATTATTCCCTTAAAAACTCCTCTTGGTGAACATGTCATTTAAAGGAAATTTAGTTTGGTCATATTCCCCTATGCGTACAGCTTATTGCATCAAGATCTGATTGATATATTTGAGGCATCACCTGAGCAAACTGACTTTGAACCCATAAATTCTCATTTAATAAGCGCCCATGTTCATTTTATGGCCTTCCCACAGCCCCAGTCCCCAGGAGAACCCTGTACCAAAAGATAACAAGAAAACATGATTCCAAAAGATGTGCAGTTTAGATACCATGCAAAGATATTGACACAGTTCAGTGAAAGCCTGGCATGTTATGGCAGAGATCTGAGAGGGAAAATGGGATTTGTAGCTGTTAGGCCTACTGAGACATAAAATTAGTGGGCACCAGCTGCGTTAGCATCATTTCAGAATGTACCAGGAACTGTAAACTGAGGGCACCAGACTCTGTGATATTCTGAATGTCTAGTGAACCAAGGGCAAAGTGCTGTGTAAAACCATATTAGAAATATTTTGGACTCCTTGATTCAATTTTTAAGAATACTCAGCTGCTTTGTCTGTGCCTCTTATCTTTCAGAAATTGAATTTGCCGTTGTAGTAGGAATCCATTGTATGCCCCTACAAAGAAGAAAAATCAAATTAGCAATGGCTGCCCTAATAGCAGAGTGCATGTTCAAGTGGGGAAATGAATGTTCAGTTGAAAAATCTGATTTGTAGGCTATAAAAACGCACAATGATTGCTTCACTGGCCCTTGATCTTCTCTTGGTGAATTCTCTAGTTAAAACCAAGTCCTATTTTCTTTTCAGTACTGTTCCTATTAGAATCATGTTTACCTTGGCCCTGATGCTTCAACTTCCCAGCTTTCTAAGAGAATAGTAGTTTTTCAGAAAGAAGTCCCACTGAATTCAATGGAATTTCATCTCAGGTAAAGAGGTTTGTAACTTTAACTTCTGAATTCACTCACACTATGAAACATCATCTGCAGTAATTCTATGAGTGACACAGTATGGAGCCAAGCTGAAAATATTATACAGTCATATCCACCTACATGACATTTACTGCCTAACAAGCTAACGGGATGTGACAAAACTGTTGTGCCTTTTATTATTGACCTGAGTTAAGAGTTATCTTGTCTCATTAGCAAAACAGAGATTATTTCTGTTAGACAAAGAATGTGGCAGCATAAAGTCAAATGTTTCCTCTAAGAAGCTGCTAATGAATAAAACACTTCGTGAAGAAAAAGAAAAAGCAGCCCATTGTCTTGTATGATGTAGCCTTTTATATAAGGAATTTTAGATAGGCAAGCAATTTTTTTGTATTCTCAAAAGAGGAGAAGTGAAAAGTCTGTAGCTTAAGTATTTTAAGATGGAGACACAGTTTTTTTTTCCCAGCGGGTGAAAGATGGGATAAAACTCACAAATGTCCCTATGACAGCCTGGCCCACACAGATAAAGTTGCATCATCTTCTAAGAAATGTGGCCATCTTTCCCCCCAGATGCTGTCCTCATCCCCAAGTTCAATTTTCTCTGAAACCACACTATGAGGTGTACGAAAATCCTGCCATGGAGATCAAACTGCTAGATTTAACATATTTTATTGATGACATAAATTTCATTCATTTGGAGGCTATTTTAGGTCTCACATATGGTGAAATCTCACACATGGTTCTGTAAACATGTAGAAGACTCTTTTACATCACTGGTAAAAAGAGCAAGAACAGCACAATATGATACAAGAACATCTGGCAGGACAATAATTCAGTACAAAGGTAAGTAAATGGTTGAGAGGCTGCCTGTTTCAGATACTTGTGGGCATATTGTTCAGTCTCAAAGATCCCTTTGACACATCTGTGTTAACCGTTGAAAGGGCAATGTTCTCATATAACTCTCGAGATTCAAAGCATCTGAAGTTGTGGAGCAGAACGACCAAATCCTTTTGAAAATTCTTGTTGAGAAAGCCATAGAAGAACGGGTTCACACAGGTTGAAATCATGGCCACTAAATGGCACAATGTGAAAACCACATTATGATGGCAGCTCATCAGGGCTTCATAGTTCCAGTCAAACATAATGTTAAATATGTTCAGAGGTAACCAACATGCTCCAAAGGTCACGACAACAGAAATCAACATAATATTAATTCTTTTACTCTCGTTTAGCCTGCTCTCATTTTCCCTTACCTTGTCTATTTTACCATGCCTTTTTTGCAAACAGACAAATATCTTTAGATAACAGATAAAAATGAACCCGAGTGGGAAGAAGTACTGGAAAAAAAACATGGTGGTGGTATAGCCAAGCCGTTCTTCAAGGGATGGCCACACTTCAATGCAGAGAACTTTGTTCATGTAGACGCCACTGTGAGAAGAAAGGTTTCTAAGGGGTTCATCTGTCACTTGGTGGAATATAAAGAAAGGAGTTGATATTATTAGAGCAAAAACCCAGATAAAGATAATGGCCCAGAATGCATGTGAAACAGTTGGCTTCCACCCACGCGGGTTCACTATGAGCTGGTATCTCTCAACTGCAATGAGTACAAGTGAGAAAACAGAGACAGTAACAGATATACTTTGTACAAAATCACTTATTTTACACATGGCTTCTCCAAACACCCAGTAATCCATCAGAGTGTAGGCAGCGTTGAAAGGAATGCACATGATACAAATGAAGATATCAGAAACAGAGAGATTGGCAATCAGAATGTTGGTGACGTTTTGGCTTTCCTTCTGTTTCCTGATGATAACGATCAAACAAAGGTTGCCAAGTAGCCCTACCAAGGTGACTACAGCATAAGCTGTAACGAGCAAGAAGACGGCAGGAGGAGATGGCTGGCAGGACTCAAAATGCGAAAAGAGTGAGTTACTGCTGTTTGCAACAGATGAATCCATGCTGGGTTCTTCAGTGGTTTCCTCCATCATAAATCATCCCTGAAATCACAGGTACAGTTAAGACTGAAAGCCCTCCATTTTTATATTCTGCATAGGCTGTTGGAAATTGTTTCTTAGAGACAGATCTATGGTAATTCTTCCATTTAGTATGATTCACTGGAAGAAGAAACATGAATTCCATTCAAAATGTCTTTGAACCCATTGGGTATAATTCTTTTAAGAAAACTCGTATGTTCAAGGGCAATTGTGCAGCAGTTTCCTCCCTCCAGCAGACTGTCCTTCATGTGACACTTGATTTTGATGCCAGTGTGTGTGTGGCAACGGGAAAGAGAACCTAGTGAGTGGAAGGAAATCCTTGCACAATTACCCTTCCACAGAGGCCTGGCCATTCACTTAAAACAATAACAGCCATCTTTCTGTCACTGTATTGGAGCTCTGTGGAGCTCCAATACAGATACGGAACAGGCTTCCTGTGCAGAGGAGAGCAACCACTAAGCAGACATGGATGTATTCATGCTGCTAAAGGGATTACCAAGCCAAACTCTTGTGCATTTTGAAGCCTCGCAGCAAGCGCTGGAACCGCTGAATTGTGTTCCAACAGTTCAGTTCTAAACATGTTTGCCAAAAGTAAAAATGATATTATCTAGCTCTCATCTGTCCGCCCGGTTATGCTGTCCAACACCAGGGTAGACTGGAGGGTCGGGGGGGGAGTAGCCATTGTCCATAAGTCCAGCTTGGAGGTCACTAGGCGCTCCTCGGTGATAAAGCCGGGTCTGGAGGCCCTCCACGTGTCTATCGGGGCCAGGGATGGTATTGGGATCTTGCTGGGCTACCGTGCTCCCCGCGACCCAGCCACCTCCCTACTGGAGCTGGTGGACTTCGTCTCCGCGGCACTGTTGGGTTCCCCGAACCTTTTGGTGCTGGGGGATTTCAACGTGCATGCGGGGGCGGAGACCTCTGGTCCAGCTCTTGAGTTCTTGGAGACCATGGCCTTCTTGAACATGTCCCAACATGTCAACGGCCCCACTCACGTGGGGGGTCATACACTTGACCTGGTTTTTTCTACCAATGGGAGTGAGAGTGGTCCGATGGTGACTGACCTTGAGTCGGTACCCTTGTCATGGTCGGATCACCACCTAATAAAGTGTACCATTAAAATGGCTCTCCCCCCCCGCAGGGAGCAGGGATCTATTGTTATGGTCCGCCCTCGAAGGCTACTGGATCCTGTTGGATTCCAGGATGCCATGAGAGGTGTTACGGCTGACCTGGCT